TTAAATCTACAAGAGATGACCACCCTTCAAATTTCTACGATCTGATCTTGTTTAATTGTTGACATAATATCTGCAAGATAAATTTTTGGAACTTCGTAATTATCTTCCTGTGCTCCCTCAATATAATCGATATTTACTTGCTCCTATTAGGCCATGCAAAATATTTTAGTATAGTGTAAATGAAAAACAAAAGGAAATTAAGAGTGACAAAGTAATAGCTCAAAATTTGGCAATATCATGATCTTTGAGCCAAATCGAAATAGAAAATCACGTTGATCTCAAAAGTTTGATAATATGATTTTCTATTTTAATTTGGCTCAAAGATCATGGTACAGCCAAATTTTTGTGTCGTCATGTCACTAAAAATTAATGCCGAACGTACTTGTGTTATAAGATCAACAGTCGATCTATTCATTTGAAAACTATCATAATAAAAACATTCCTGCATTTGCCTATATACGGTAAATACTATTCGAGGTAAAAGATACTGTGAAACAGCCTTCTCGATAGAATTAAAGTAGGTTGTTATAATAGTTGGAAGACCGGTCATAGGGATCTGCTCTTTATATTCTTCAACTCTTACATACTCAGATTCTTTATCGAGTAATTCTTGAATTTCCTTTGTTAAGTTTAAAAGTGATGAATTTGACTGAATATGATCATGAATTTTGCGATTTAAACTTTCAACCCGTTGAGTACTATTTGCGCCGGCTGTGAATTGATTATTTGTATAGCATATAGCCCATTTATGTTTATATGAATCCAGTTGTCGTCTTATATAACTATTGACTGACGTATATTTTGCTTTCAAACTTTCCCATCGACTTTTGAAAACACTTAAAACTAATGTATTTCTACACTTAAAGCCTCACGAAACTCCCTAAACTCTGTAAGACCCAACTTATTTCTAAGATTTTTTTTTAGATTAAGATCAATGTGAAATATACATAAACAATGAATAGAATCTGGAAATTCTAAACTTATTGCATTAATCATTGCTGGATCAGAATCTGTGAATACAACTTTTGCTGTTAAATTTTTCATACATTTTTTAATCATTTTTAATGCCCAAACAAAACTACACTCTGTCTCATCTTCGAGTAATGCAGTTGCAACAAGTCGTGTTCGATTACAATTGTCAATTATGACAAAAAAACAAGCCATCATGTTGTACTTATTAGTGCGAGATGTCATATCAAAAAAAAGAACATCATGATAACGGGTCCATAAATTTTGTTGCTTAGGTGACAACCATACCAATCCACATAATCGACGCTCCTCTTTCTCAAATTTAGCCTCTACAAACCAACGTGAATCTTCAGCTTGCTGTGAATATAATTGCCTCATGAGATCTGACGCATCAAATTCAACCTGTGTTACTAATTTTTTTTTTGCTGCTTGAATCAAATTATAAAGACTCTTTTCATAAACCTTACTTCCAGGAAACTTTCCTCTCAAAAGACGTCCAATGCTTTGTGCACTAGTTACACCATGATGTACGCAGAATTCAATAAATTCAACCATGTCGTCACCAAGTTTCCGATATTTGGCGATGTTAGTTGTAGGTGAAGGTACCATAGGGTGATTGTGCTTATCCACAACAGTAGTGAAAGTAATTAGTAATGTACTTTTTGAAATATTTGCATTTACCCTCCATTCACACTCTGTTGCCTTCGATTGTCGATTTCTTTGATCATTCGGATTTAATACCTTCTTTGCCTGATATTTACCCGCATAACTACATTCCCAGCTAAGCTTACATAAAACCTTATTACCATTCTCCATTCAATTTTCAGTTCATCTTTGACGGATGCTAAACCCTTTTTCTAATCCATACTTATTTAAAAAATTTTCAGCATCGTTCCAACTATCAAAAGACTAACCTAAAGTTATTGAAAAGAAGAGACGTCAAAACTTATCAGCCAAAGAACAGTTTATATTTAGGGGTCGTCTAAAGCCATGTACCCACGTGAATATTTTGTGTAAATCAACCAACCAGAATTGCGAAATTTTGTTTATATGGATCAGCCCGAAGAAGTCAAAAAATAAAGAAAATACAAAAGATGAAAAAACGGCAGTCTAAACCTGTCTTGGGGCATAATTAAAAATGTCGGAAAGGCAATTTTACCTATACCCCTCTTCTTATATCAACACCAACCTAACCCTAATTCTAACCTTAATTTTAAATAAACTGATTAAAGCGTCAAAATCACGCGAGTACATGGCTTTAGCCATCCTCTATATTTAGGAAACTCGCCACGTAGCATCAAATAAAAATGCCTAACTTATTTTAAGCGAAGAAAAATCTGATTCTTCATCAGAAGAGTCCGTGTCAAGCGTGAATCTGTGACTAATACCATCATGAAAACCTTCGGTCATTGCTTCATTTAATAATTCGTTTGACCCTTCGTTTACTGCTCCGTCAATCGTGAGTCTGTGACTAATACCATCGTGATAACCTTCAGTCATTGCTTCATTTAATGATTCGTTTGACCCTTCATTTACTGCTCCATCAATTGTGAGTCTGTGACTAATACCATCGTGATAACCTTTGGTTATTGCTTCATTTAATAATTCGTTTGACCCTTCATTTACTGCTCTGTCAATCGTGAGTCTGTGACTAATACCATCGTTTACAGCTCCGTCAATTGCAACAACAATAGATTCTGTTTCGTCAGATAACTCCATAACTAAAAAAAATTGAAGTAAGATTAGTTAATATTGTGAAGCTACAAATCTACTTAAAGGATGTTCCTTAGTACATGCATCTATTTCCTCCTACTTTTGTTTTTACTTTTAACACACCAGTCTTTAACATACCCGCCTTTAATATACCCGCCTTTAACATACCTGCCCTTAATGTATTCGCCTTTAACAGGTGTTAGCCATTTAACAAGACTAAGCTGATAATATTTCTGTGTTCACTTTTAATGCACTTGCGTTACTAGACTGTTTAATAGACTAAATTGATAGTGTTTTTGTCTTCACTTTTAATACACCTGTGTCACTGCGTTAACCGATAATGAAATTCTGATCGCTTAACAAGAGCAAATCGATAAGCAAAAAAAATTCAATTGTATATTGATCGAACCCCTATTTATTTATATAAATTGAATCTCCGATCACCTACATCTGTCAAAATAAACTTATGCATGTAAATAAAGCACCATAATGATAAAAATAATCATCATGTGTAACCAGTGATTTCCCCCCAGTGAATCTTAGTTATTTTCATTAATAAATATGAAATAAAGTGTCTGATATATCTGGTATTTTGAATTGTAGAAAGAAAAATTGATAGAGATTTTTGGAATTTGGAGCTTTTTTTAATGTATTGTATAACTTGTAACAAATAAGATTGATAGTATTTAGTTTTAATTTAAGAAATAGAGATATTAGAAAACTATATAATATTAAAATATACTATAATTTTAGCAAAATTATGTGGATATGTTGTTTTTAAAAAGGTGTTTTGAAGCATTTTTAAGATTTGTATCAGTAATGTTGTCCTTTTTAAAAGCAATAAGCAGAAATTGTTTAAAATAAGTATAATAAAAAAAGGATTGCTGTTTGGAGTTGGTAATAGTATTGTTAAGTTGCATAAATTTTTATTTGTCTATTTCAGTTAGTTTTTTAAAGAATTTATATAAAAAAGATTTTGTAAAAGTTATAGCTAATAGTTGATCTGATTGAAAAATAGAAAAATCTAAGTAAGGGTAAATGAGATTGAAAAAAGAATTGTAAAATAGAAGCAGATTAAGTTGCGAAAGGTATATAAAATATTAGTAAAAAGAATATTATATAGAGTATTGCTAACTTGCCACTCTGATTACATAACTCGCATATATAATTAACCAATCAAATTACAGGATCTTGTGTAATAACAACGATAGTAAAAATTATGAAAAACTCCAAAACTTTTAATTATCGCAAAATTTTACTATGTAAACCAATTTTGGACTTTTAAGTAAAAGTTTTCAGCTTACAATTTTGCATATATCTATATATTTTAACCTTAATTTAATACTAAACCTAATCTTTAAATTAAAATTTAGCTTTAATTTTTAAAAATTTATATAATAAGGTGGTGATTTAACTACTGGTTAAAATTAGTTATATTCTATTATTTATATTATTTATATATGGTAGAGTGAGGTTTTGATCAATACAAATATTCTTTTATATAATGAGTTAATATTAGGAAATTGATAAGAATTTGGAAGTAGTTTTTTAAGTTCAATAGTAAAATGAGAAATTATTTGAAATTTAAGATAATTATAAGTTTTTTGTTTATTAATGTGTGTAAATTGTTTTTTATAGAAATTAATGAATTTTAAAAACTATTATTAAATAGTATACAATATGTTTTAAAGGAAAAAATATAAAAAGTTTAAGAAAATTTTGTGAAGAAATATCAAATATAATTTAAACATTGTATTTAGAGTTATTTTTAATTTTAATGAGAAGTTGGTTGTTATTGTTAAACATAGTATTAAAATGAAGTGTCATTTAAATAAAGTTGAAGTTTAAATCATTAAATAATTTTATATAATTAGGATAGCTGCGTGACGCTTGACATCATGCAGGACCAGTACGATCATATATAACATGTAAATTCAGACTATTTGAAAGTTATTGATAAAGGATTTTAATACTCATTAAACAAACAAACTTAGAAATATAACGTAATGCTATATGCCTGAATATTATCTTTTAGGTAATGGCGCAGCACAAATTCTTTAAAGTTCGTTTAGTTTAGCATTAGTGTTAGTGTTATAGACTAAAGAAGAGTAGTTTGCATAGTAAAATTTCTCAACGAAAACCTTTTTGTTAGAATGCCAAAAGTGATTTCTTATGTAGAATTATGAGAAGTAAGCGAAATGAATATTTGTTTTGAATTTTCTTGATAGTATTATATTGCAACTGATCTAGAAATCAAATTTGTAGTTCAGGAAATCTGCGCATACATTCAAGGGGATGTAATGAGAAAATTCAAAACAAACGGCTCGTTTCGTCAAAAATCATTTTTTCTCGAATTGCATATATAACTACTCTTCGTACACTAATTAAATTTTTCCTTGAGCAATTTTACTATGTACCTCTTTAATCTCTAGTATTAATAAGATCTTGACCCTCACACTAAAATGATCGACTTTAAAAGAATTTTGACTGCATCACAAACTTGGCACATATTCAAGTAATGCTCTGATTTTGAAATCTGATTCGTAGCTCAGGCAATCGACGCCACAAACCTGGCAAATACATTGAAGATTACAAATGATGACGAAATTAATTATGACGATTGAATGAAATTATTATAACCTCGGTGCTTACTTTAAATGACTGTTATCTTATATAATTATCATAATAATACTTAAATAAGTAAATATGATAACCATAACACTTTCTAAAATAGGAAAAAATATAGTGCACTAAAAAGTTAAATGGAACCATCCCTCTATATTTCATATGATCGTACTGGTATTAATTATTTTGTATTAATTTTGAAGAAAAAGGTATAAATAGACAAGATTGATAGCAAATTGAGAATGTTTAGAGATAGAATGTAGTAGTAGGAAGTAGTGGGAATGAAAGTTTTTTGT